TTTTCATGTTAGCTGAGTAGCTGTATGTAATCAAAGGAAGAATAAATGAAAAAAAATAATAAAATTTTTTCAAATGAAGCATGAGCACACATTGCTTTGCTTCTTATTAACACAACCAAGCCTTAAAAATACACTCTAAACCACCTCTTTAAGGCCCTGGTATACTTCAAGCTTTATTAAAAAGAACTGCAATGATGTAATTTTGAAAACAAATCTACCATATACAAGTTATCTGAGTGAAAGTTTTGATATTTTAGATATTCTAAAAGCCACATTTGGTAGGCTAATGCAGCTAATTAGAATAAATCAGAACAAAAACTGAAACAAATTTGTGTCTACTCACTGCGTCACCATGACGACTTCATGACAATTATCTTCATGATATCTTCATGATATCATGTATTATTAGTAGTAGTGTTATTCATGATATGCATGTTTATGTTTGTTTTGATTAAAACAAATTTAGATTTGTCCATCTGTTTTGGAGATGTATGCATCACCCTATGAGGCATAAGAACAGGACGTTTGTTTGGATATAACTCGTTATTATTGTTCAGCTATTCATTTGCTGGAAATTAGAACTGAATTTAGAAATAGTTTTGAAACACATCTTTGAGCTTAACAACCGAAATTAAATATGTCGGCTAATGGATGTTTTCTGTGGATTGAGTTTCCACCGTTTCCTTACTCCACAAAAGTAAAGGAGTAAAAAGAGAAAGTAAAGAGAAAGTAAAGACACTGAATGGAGGAGGCTCGTTCTTTATCCTCGTGCTGCAGATGGTCTGTTTGACTGTTTTCTTGCTAATGAAGCGTTCAGTTTTCCACTTACAAAGTCCTCCGTGTAAATAGTAAATGGACCATGGCGTGACGCAACTGACTCTTGAAGGGAATGGGAGATGAGACTCTGATTGGTTTAATGCACGTTATGCTCAAAACACTGACATAACTCATTAAGAGAACCACGGCGCAGACCCAATTTCATTCATTCATTCATTCATTCATTCATTCATTCATTCATTCATTCATTCATTCATTTCCTTGCCGGCTTAGTTCCTTTATTAATCCGGGGTCGCCACAGCGGAATGAATCTTCAACTTATCCAGCACGTTTTTACACAGCGGATGCCCTTCCAGCTGCAACCCATCTCTGGGAAACATCCACACACACACATACACATACACACACACTCTACGGACAATTTAGCCTACCCAATTCTCCTGTACCGCATGTCTTTGGATTGTGGGGGAAACCGGAGCACCCGGAGGAAACCCACAGGAACGCAGGGAGAATATACAAACTCCACACAGAAACGCCAACTGAGCCAAGGTTCAACCCAGCGACCCAGCGACTTTCTTGCTGTGAGGTGACAGCACTACCTACTGCGCCACTGCTTCACCCCCAGACCCAATTTTCCATCTATTTCTTAAAATAGCAAAAGTGGATTCGCCCTTAATGCTTTTGCGCCATGCACTTTAGACTTTGCGCTTAGATCGTTAAAAATAGAGCCTTAAAATTTTAGCACTGATTAATTTGCTGTGTACACTGAAAAATCTTGTTTGCTGTTTGTTCAAACTACATTTTTAAAGTGAGCTGAAACAACACAGAGTTGAATTTTTGGGGGGACAACATCATTGTTTTATGTTCAATCCACTTAAAATGTAAAAAAAACTAATAAGCTAACTTAATTCTTTCATGTTGTCCCAACACAAATCGAATGTGTGGAATCCAGCTTTTTTTATTTACAGTGTACTCCACCTGTAGACACACTGTAGTCACTCTGTCTTTGGATCTTCTTCTTTTTCTTTGTCTGTTAGCCACATGCTGGTCTATATTTTAGGCAATCAGGTCTGTCTGTCAGGACTGCGGCTCTTTTTTTAAATTACAAAGCAAGCCACAACAATTCACCATCCAAACACCAGGACGGAGGTCAAAGCAATGAAATGTCACGGAAAGCTTGGAGAATGCAACAGCGGCCTTGTGGGTAAGGAAAGAAAGGACATCACGTTGAGATGAAAATGCTTCAGTCCACGACGGTTGGATTGCAGTATTTTGTAAGACCAGAGTCTGGACCCCTTTGCGAGTTTCATCATGTTAGGGTGGAAAAACGCGGTGAAGCGTGCACCAAGCAGCTGGTTTCATTAACCTCCTGTCCAACCCTGGAGAGAAGGAAGCAGGGTAAGGCGATGTAAATGGTGACCTTCTAAATATGCAGCCAGATATCAGCGAGTGAACGCCTCCCTGCTCCTAGAGAGGGAGGGAGTGTCATGGCAGACAGCTAGGAAGAAAAAAAAACTAGGCCACTTGTTTCAACAGTTGAGTCACCTTGGCAATACCGACTTTGAGCCTCCGGGGTGTGAATTTGCCCGTGTTACGGAGCGTGATGGGACGGTTTGTGTGCTGTCATATCTATATTTCTCACAAGAGAGACCGTTTTACGTTATTTTTGGTAACAATTATATTGTAATGATCCGCGTGTAGCAATTGCTCTGTTTTGTCATGCTGTTATACAGCCTGTAATTGCTCCAGCATCAGCCCAGATACGTCCATTAAGAATGAACAATGACTTCTCAAACAATGGACTTCATCTGTTTTAATAGTTATTGTGTTTCTCACAATCGTGCTCAGTTTGTACTAGTCGGATAATTTCGTGATTGTGTGCTAGCTGTGCCTTCTGAAATATGCCGACGGAAGTCAAGGAAAACAAAATAGGGTTGATGTACTTGTTTAACACATATTGCGAACACTTGTATTGCTTCATGTTTATACTATATAGCTGTGTTTCTCAACCATGTTCCTGGAGGAACACCAGCTCTGCACATTTTCCAGGTCTCCTTAATCGAACACACTGCATTCAGAACTTCAGCTCACTAGCTCAGAACTAATCAGTGTGACAGACAAAGGAGACCTCCAAACATGCAGTGTTGGTGGTCCTCCACACTGTAAATAAAATAGGGGTTTTGGCAAAACAATGAACAAAGTGATAGTGTTGGATAAACCATTTATTTTTACCAACAACACACAAGCCTCTCCTACAAATGAGCACTGGTTGTATGATCGCCGGATTTATGGTTTCTCTGCAGTATTTCCAAAAGTGCCAGAAGTAAAAATGTTATTATTTACCCCACCAGTGGGGCGAGTTGTAATAGACAGGGGATTAGTTGTAACACATGCTTGAAAAGGCAGATTTCACACAATTCATTTAATTTTTGTTTACTTTATATAGTAGCTATATTCCTCAGTACTTAGCTCAATTATTTTTTTATTCTACATAGCACAGTATGTTTATTTATTTACTAGATGCAGAAGGCTGCTAGCTCTCTGCAACTCTCACATGGTCACCCACTGAAGCTCAGCAAGGCTGCGCATGCTCAGTACCTGCATGGGAGACCACATGGGAAATCTAGGTTGCTGCCGGAAGTGGTGTTAGTGAGGCCAGCAGGGGGCGCTCAACCTGTGGTCTGTCTAGGTCCTCATGCCCCAGTAGAGTGACGGGACTCTATACTGCTCAGTGAGTGCAGTCTTTTGGATGAGACACTAAACCTGACTCTCTGTGGTCGTTACAAATCCCAGAGTAGGGGTTTAACCCCATCATCCTGGCCAAATTAGCCCACTGGCCTCTGTCCATCATGGCCTCCTAACCCTCCCCATATCATAATTGGCTTCATGACTCTGTCTCCTCTCCACCAATCAGCTGGTGTGTGGTGTGCGGGTCTGGTGCTAAATGGGTGCCGTCGCGTCATCATCCAGGTGGATGCTTCACACTGGTGGTGGATGAGGAGATTCCCCCCATTGTGTGTAAAGTGCTTTGAGTGCCCAGAAAAGCGCAATATAAATGTAAGGAATTATTATTATTATTACTAGATAAACACATTTGGGTTTATTTGCATTATTATCCATTATTATACCGTGCATTTATTTGTATTATTAGCAATAAAAAATATTTTTTTTTTATTAAAAAACATTTTTTATTAAAAACATTTTTTATTTAAAGTTTTTAACATTACGCTTAAAAGTCAAAAAATGTTTTGTTTGTTTAGTTGGTGTCCAACAGTGTGTGGTTTAGTTTTAACACCCTGTTAAAATTAACCCTGCTGTGTCATGTTTTCTTCAAAACTGGCTAGCATTCACTGTGCGTTTTTTTACACCTTTCAAAATGGTTTCATCTTTCAGCCTAGAAGATGGTGATCACAACAATACAAGATTTTACAGTATGTTTATACTTTCACAGATTTTTTCTAAATAAAAAAATATTGACTATAATAAAAATACCTTTTATGCTACAAAAATGGTTTCTCCTGTGTTTCTCATCCAAATTTTGCCAAACTTTTTCAATAATTGGCAGAAAGACGTCTGCCGACACTGTGGTGAAAAATCTTGGAAGCATGCCATGATTAACCCTGAGCTCCATGTTACATTTTAGACGGCGTTACTTTGTGCCCCGCACTCCCCTACTGCTTGCCTTAAATTGTTAGGGTTATTGTTGAGTCAATTGAACTTAAATGATATTCTACTGACTTAAATCAGCTTGCCTAATTCATAAAAGTATGTTAAAACATGATTAACCTAGTTTAATAAGTTACAATTAATTAAAAACATATGTTGTCATGGCTTATTGATCATATCATTTTCTACAGTGCAGGAACGTGGTTGAGAAACTCTGCTATAGAGCTCAATAGTTGGGTTTTATAAGTAAAATCTTATGAAAAAGATTATTTTATATAATCTGCACAGGGAATTGATTTTTACCAGTAACTACCAAACCTTTGAAGATTTCATGAAAATAAAACAAAAAATAGCTAGTTTTTAGATTTGTTCGATTCTTAATTAAAAAACAAGAGCTTTTGCAGTGTAGTCCTGTCTAAATTAGATTGATACTTGTTCAAAATGTTGCATTATGAAAGCTTAATTGTTTTGCCAGTGTGTTTCATGAAGAAAATGTTTGACTAGATTATACAGTATGTTTCAAAAGACTTAATCAATCCTAATGTTTGTTTCCTTAGAGAGCTGACCTTGCTGTGGCTCCTCTCACAATCACCTTCATGCGAGAGAAAGCCATTGACTTCTCCAAACCTTTCTTGAACACCGGCATCAGTATCCTGTACCGGAAACCCAACAGCACCAACTCCGGCTTCTTCTCGTTCCTGAACCCCATGACTCCTGATATCTGGGTCTACATCCTGTTGGCCTACCTGGGCGTCAGCTGTGTGCTCTTCGTCATCGCCAGGTGAGCCACATCCCATCGTACAACTGTGGCTATTAACCTTTGTGGTGCCATGAAATATTTGCTTTGGATTCACTCAGTAGAGCATCAAAGGGCAAACAGTAATGTGTTATTAGTGGTGTTTGCTAAGGCGAAAGGACCAAACCATACCTAGGGAGCAGAATATCAGCAAAGAGATTTGCTGGTGGGATTTTTGTGGCCATTAAAAAACCTTTACAACCATCCTGAATGCTGAAGCAACTGCACAGCAGACACACGCTAATGCACTTTAGGTGCGTAATGCACTTGGAAAATTCTGATCACAACAGCAACTGCATGACAACATCATAGCAACAGATGGCAGCAAGTTTTACACAGGTCATCACTAGATCTAAAAAAAAATCTTATAGTACATTTAAAAGTGGCCATCTTAATGACTTCAAAGGGCATCACAAACACTGGAGAAAAAGCTTCTTTTTTTTGTTTTCCTTAAGACAAGCAAAATAATCTAACTCCATTGGCAGATTATTTTGCTTGTTTTAAGGAAAGAGTTCTATTTTTTGACATAATTTTAACAGTATTTCTAAAAACAAGAGTATTTTTGACTTGTCTAGAAAATGCTATATATGTATTACACTCATAGCAGTGCGATATTGGCACTGGTTAGAGGCGTGAGTTGACATTAGTGCCTTAGTATCCCGCCAATGCCGATATACAGCCATATCGCACTGATAGGAGTGTGATATTGCGTTTATATAACAGTTCAGTGGCATAATCGTGTATATAAAAAACGCAGAGAGTCTAAAAACCCTTTTGTATGAGGAACTACTTTCTTCCGCCATTCATTCACTCCTGCAGCTGACATCAGAACACGTCAAGGACTAAGCTGAAGGAAAATGAATGAATGTATGATTTGTCCTCATAAATTTAAATCTAGCACCATATTTTCTTCCCCTCTAAATTACTTTTGTTCAAATCTGGTCACATGGTATGCCTTTGGGGCGCAGTTTTAAGTATTTAAAAGGGAGCAATGGGCTGTCAGTCATTTAGGGCGGGACTATCATTCATTTAGGGCAGTTGTTTCCAAAGTTTGGCTCGGGACCCCCTTGAGGGTCACGGGAAAATTACAGGGGGTCGCTTGGTAATTTCCAAAAGTCAAATAAATTTTATTAAACTGTTTTTATTACCATATTTTAACCATAACCCACAGAAGATAAAAATAGTAGTTTTTAATAGTAAAAAAAACAACATGCAAATGAAAAGCCATCAGCCTTTCAATGATTTTTTTTATAGGATTGGTGTGTTTACATTAACAACACAGGAACAGTGTTAGCTGCAGCAGATTGATATTATAGCACCAGGTTCCTGACATAATCAAATACATTCAAATAAATACAGGCCACAACTGAAAATTGAGAATGATCTCTGATTAGCGGTACCAAGATTAAACCAGAAATAGACAACACAATCTCACGGCAATTCGTAACTTTTTCATTTAGTGGCTAATTCGTATGAATTCGTACGATCTAATTCGTACAATTTAGTACGATTTGCTTATCCCCCAATGACGGTTGGGGTTAGGGGTGGGGTCAGGTGCCACGCCTCCTTTTTAAAATCGTACCAATTCGTACGACTGAACTCGTACGAATTCGTACGAATTAGCCACTAAACTGGCAAAACGTAAAATACTTACGTTTTCTCGTGAGAGCAGGCTGGAAATAGACGTGTGCTGAAAACCTTGTGTCCACCACTCTCATCAGTTGAGGTTAATATTAAATTAAACAAATTAATAAATGACTATATAATTGATTTGTTATAATTGGATGTTGCTAAACATTTTGTTAGTCCAATCGGTCCCAAAGAAATTTTATGTGCCCTTTTTTATTTTAGCACCGTTTTAATAATACTGTACATCATGATATAGAAAAAAGGACAATCTTAAAGGTGCAGTAGGTGATCTGCCAAAATGCTGACTGCTTAGCATATTATCTTTGGATGACAGGGAGAGACTGTGTTTTAAAGCCACACCTCCAGAAATCGCGAACACACACTTTTTTTATATATTGAAATTTAAAACAAATCCAGTGTTTTGTAGTTAATTACATGCAAGTTTTCAAGTTTATAACCTCAAATAAATTAAGTAGCTGAAATTGTTTAGTTTTTAGTTTGTTTTCAAATTTACTGTTTATTGTTGTTGGTAAGAAATACATTTAACAGCAACATTTTTGTTTTCCAGTAATTTTTTACTTGTTTTACACCACAGATTTTTATTGTTATACAAAACAAAAACATGTACTGTCCCATGTATAAAAAATAACAAGAACATCAGTGTATAGACTTGAAATACAAAACAACCCCATCAGTGCGGAAAAATTTAGTTATCAACCCATTTTTTGGGGGGTTGCTATAAGTTAAATATTGTTTTAAGCAAATTAACAGATATATTTACCTTTAAGTATGCCACATTTTTAAGTTGATGTAATTATCAATATTTTCCTGTTTTGAAAACGTAATAAAATTATTCTGCCAACTTAAAAGTTTTAATCAAATCAACAATTTAGAATTTTTTGCTTACAACAATGTGTTAAACTATATAATGGTAACAGACCTCTTGAGTTTTTTTTTAGAGTGCCACAATTATGTATTTAACAAAATAAAAAATAAATAAATAAATAAAAATGTATTCCAAAGTGTTCCTGTGGCTCAATCTGCACGCTAAGCCAGTTAAAGCTATGAGATTAGCTTCATGTGCAGAACAGCTTGAATGTGAAAAAAACACTTTAAAATAATAAATAAATAAATAAATAAATAAATAAATAAATAAATAAATAAATAAATAAATAAATAAATAAATAAATAAATAAATAAATAAATAAATAAGTTTCTTCTCCTCAATAATCACAGTCACATTCAAAAGATAAATCTGACCTTTAGCTTGTAACAGTCAGTCATGTGAGAGCCAATGGCAGGCTGTCGTTTTGAATATGTGATTATTATGGCAGATGGCAATGACGATCAAATATAGCCTTGTCACATAGAAATATTTGACCTCTGCACTGGAAATTAGCTGTTTGGAATGCTTCTGCTGGATTTATTTTCACTTTTTTATGTACAGCAGATTTGGAACAAGTTGCCATATAAAGTGTCGCAAAACTGCTATTAAAGGTTCACATCACATAGTTTGTAATCACATTTTACAGTCTTTTCCTAACACCCTGCTTGAGGGTGTTTTGAGCGGCAGCATCACCACTTGTAGAAGCGTTTTATTCAGAAGGCTTTTCTGAATGACCATTAATGAAGGGTACAGGAGCTAAAGACTTTACATACTAGCATGTCCTCAAACATCAACCATCTGAGAAAGCAGGCTGAAAGGTTTTAGATCTCTTGAATAACAATATCAGGCATCTCGTTCAATTAGACACCGGCTTCAGAAATAAACTCATTAGATGGAACAGCATCAAAAGAAACCTCAGAAATATATAATACTCAAAGGTTTTAATGAAAATGATAGCTTTAGGTAGTTTGCAAGAAGTCACAACAACATATGCTGATAAAATTGTCCATTTTCAATATAATACTACCACAATTAAGTGCAATTTACACTGGCACAGACAGAACAGTCAGCCTCTCATTTTACAAAATGGGGATAAATGGATTTATGAGCTGGGAGTGTGTTTTTAAAAATCGTATTTTCACATGTAGGTGAAAAAAAAAATGCAGGAGCTAGTGGAGGTGGATCTTAATATTAGCCATTGTATAATAAACACACATACATGCATGCACACACACATGAAGAAAATCCCAAACCATGGTGCACAGGATAATAATAGGTTTTGAAAATTAAAGCTAATATAATGAACAGAAAAATATTAAAGGCTTCAATATACCGGCTATATGAGAAACCACACAAGGACCAGGTGAACATAATCAAAAAAAATCAATAAACTAAAATAACAAAGAAAATACATGCAACAAACATACCCACTTTAATTATGACTGAGTTATTACTGTTTAACTGTCTAAAAGATCTAAATTATTAGACTTGACAGTTTTTGAAATGTGTAGCATTTTACTTTGAGGATAGACATACTGATTTAGCTTGGAAATGTGCTAGTCCAAA